GACTATCGAAAGTGACAGCTAGTGTTTTTGGGTTCTGTAAAGTTGGAATAGTCCCGACCCTTTTACTTGTTAAGAGAAAAATTGTTGCAGTAGAATTTAAAAGATTTAAAAATTTGGCAATTGAGGCTAATTTGGTGTTGATTTTGCTTTCGAGGTTGACGAATTAAAATCCACAGACTTGGATTGTGCAAACATCGGCATATGAGAAGTGTTGGATTATCTCTGGATCAACAGTGTTTAGTGATGTAGGAATTAAACATAGAGTAACTTCCGGTAATGTGGACCACCATTTTCTTTTTTTGATATTGTGGTAAGCGGTAAAAACTGAAAACAAATTGTTTTCACAACATAGTAGATTTGTTGGCTAAATATATTCCAGGTCAAAAATTATATATATTTGTCTATAAAAATGTTATTGCATTATATTTCAAAAAACTCTAAACTGCGAATAAAATTAACTTGGCGGGTAATGTGGACCAGTATGTGTGGGTAATGAGGATCAGTAAGTTAAAGGTAGGTTGTGGTTTGGTTGTGATAAATTTCAATTTATTACACTCTTGGGTAACAATGAATTCAAAAATATATGGGTTCATGTTTTGGAATAGCCCCCATTTAAAGGTATCGTCCCATTTGCGGTATTTTGAAGGTCCTTGCTTCATTATCCAACCGAAGCACCTGTAATTTAGCATATCGAGTTTTCAGAGGATAGAATACCTCATCGCATATTAAATTCACCCACGTTTCGAACTCGTCCTCAAGAAAAGGTCCCACTTTTTTATAGTGGTCCACATTACCCGACATTGAATATTTTTATTTAGAAATAATTATCGGCTTCAAAAATGAATAAAAATTAAAAATCGCCGATTGAATTTGAAACTAAACGTATATTTTTGTTAAAGAAAACAAGAAAAACCACATAACTTATTTATATTCGAGATAAACAAAGTGTTCGACTATTTTGCAAAAACGTTCGACTATTGTGCCAAAAAATGTTCAAATCACACTTTTACAATCAGAGCTACATTTTCTACTACTACATTTTCAACATTGCAATTATTTATTAAAAACCAATTTGGATGTTTGTTTTCACTAATAAGGAAAATATTTATCAAGGCGGCATTGACATATTTCAAGCATTTTCTTAGATATGGGGGGGTAGTCCACATTTGACGCATGGTCCACATTACCCGAAGTTACTCTAGTACGGCTCATCGACGACTTCTGACCTTTGCAACCTACATATGCCTGCCTGACACAAAACCATCTTCGCAACGGACAACACAACAATCAACAAAACTGCCCTCACGACAGCCTTCATGAAAACACACGACGCAACAGCCACCGGCAGCATCGCCAACCGCCACCACCACTCGGTGGAACTAACGAGCCTCCTGCTTCACGAGCAAAACTACTTAAACAACAAAGGATCCGATTGTCTTCAAGAACCATATTAAAATCCCACCCATCCCTCCATTCGCTATACCCATTTCCGCTAAATCTCTTATGTCTCCATAGGAACAACATTCCCTCAGTATATGCTTCCAGTCTTCTGTCACCCACACCCACATAAATCTGTCTGGGACAGGCCTCTTTTATGACGAAAATCATTCAAACAACCAAGTTCTGTCAGTACGAAACCAGTACCTAATTCGAAGCGAAAGTCTGGCCGTTCCAGTACAAACGTAGCGTCACGAATAAATTTGTATTTGCCACTGTCCCTTCACCTAGTCCTCCACCTATCAACAACACACTGCCTAAAGATAGTACTGTACCGCCTACTATTCCCATCCACCACAACAGAAGGCCTGAGCTAACCATCTTCATCCAACTGCATGCCACGTTTAAACTTACTCTTAATAGCCCTTCAATTCATCCCAAGATTAAGCTGTACGGCGCCTAGCAGCACTTGCAACGACTCTTTTGAACAGTTCGACACACTGGCCAACATACTACCATGACGACCCGCTGCCACGAATGGAGCTTCTTCTGTCTTCTTCTGGTGAATCATAAGTTGCACAGGCAATAAACAACCCAATCTCTAATCTGTCCGCAAAACACGTTTGATGGTCCCTACGACCATTGTCAACTTCTCCTTCAACCGATCAAAGTGAGCAAGGATATTCAACTTCTCAGACACCATTATTCAGAGATATTTATCAGCACTTGAATACCTTGTGCCGCCTTCGAAAGATGGTATTCGGATACCAGCTCGGAAAGATCTACCATATGGACTACCTTGGACAGATCTAAGGCTGCCACAATGGGCGCTGAATAAGGCCATTATAAATTTTGGAAGTAGTTTTGCGAAAAGCCGTTGTTGTGCAATATATTTCCCTGAACAATGTTGGTGTAGCTGGGAAGAACTGCTGTTTCAGGGACGGATGCAATATGGACTCTAAAACCTTGGCTATTGGTGAAAGAAAAAAAATCGAGCGGAGGAATTCCCCATTAGTAGTGGGCAACGTTCCAAATATCACTGTGAAATAGAAAATTCGAGAATTTTCTTTAACCCTACGATCAATAATGGAGTTATTTGGATCCAATGTTTTCTAGGGTTACTCAAATTTACAAAGGGTTTAGGGAACACCTTTAAATTAAAAAAAAAAACTTTACTCATTCTGAAACTATATTGTTTTAGATAGATTATCATGGAGCATACATTTTAATATATATTCCTTTAATGTATATATAATTTTGAGTTCAGCGTAAAATTCTATGACGATATAGCCATGTCCGTCTGTCCGAATCGCCAACATTTTGCATAGCGTCGTCTTTTGCCTGCAGGCAGGTCAAATTCGAAGATGGGCTTTATCGGTCCCCGTTTAGGCATATTTTCTTGAGCGCGTTTTTCAACCGAAAATTTTGGTACAATGGGCTCCTATTGGGTACCAAATATCTCCACTAAAATTATAAATATAAGTCCACTTTTTCTGGTAGCTCCCATAGCGTACCCCCAAATTTCGGTATTTTGAGGTTTCCGAGCGCGTTTTTCAACCGAATTCACTAAAATTTTGTATTTTGTAGTCGTATATGGTAACAAATCTCACTACCAAAATTATTAATATTCACACCCGTTTAGAGGTAGTCCCCATTAAACCCCTTTTTATACCCTTCACCACATTGTGGTACAGGGTATTATGTCTTTGTGCATATGTTTGTAACATGCAAAAGGAAACAAGATAGACCCATGTTTCCTTTTGAGTATATGCATAGAATCACTTTCTGAATCATTTATTTGGCCCAAGGACGAACCCTATTGAAATTGGGAAAAATCGTTCAGATTTAGATATAGCTTCCATATATAATTTCGTCCGATTTGAGGTAAATGATGCACCAAAGTCCCTATATATCTTTCGATTTGCACGAAATTTGGCACAGCGTACTGAATTATGCCTGGAATGATGTGTGCTAAGTTTCGTGGAAATCGGTTCAGATTTAAATATATCTCCCATACATATATTTGTCCGATTTAATGTAAATGGTGAACAAATGTCCCTATATTTCTTCCGATTTGTACGAAATTTGGCATAGTGTACTGAATTGAGTCTAGAATAACGTGTATCAAGTTTGGAGAAAATCGGGTCAGATTTAGATAAAGCTCCCATATACACTTTCGTCCGATTTAAGGTAAATGGTGCGCCAAAGTCCCTAAATATCTTTCGATATGCACGAAATTTGGTATAGCATATTGAATTAGGTCTAGAATGATGTGTGCTTAGTTTTGTAAAAATCGGTCTAGATTTAGATATAACTTCCATATATAGTTTTGCCCGATTTTAGGTAAATGGTGCACAAAGTCCCTGCTAATCATTTGATTGGCATGAATTTTGGTATAGCGTACTAAATTAAGTCTAGAATGATGTGTGCTAAGTTTCGTAAAAATCGGTTCAGATTTAGATATAGCTTCTGTATATAGTTTCGTCCGATTTTAGGTCTCTGAAAATCATTCGATTTGCACGAATTTTGGCATAGCGTATTGAATTAAGTCTGGAATGATGTGTACATCTCCTATAATTTGTATAAATCCTAATTTCTTCTTCCATTTCCTGTCAACGCAAATGAGATATAAAAATATTGAAAAGAAACCAAAAGAATTTTCCACAACAAGTATTTACATTAAATAAACAAAAACAACGAATAGCCACAACAAATAGCAACAAATTGTGCACTAAAGATCCACAGCTAGGCCGATTGACACAACGTATTGAAATTAATATAAATTAATATCAGCTTCCATATATAATTTCGACTTATTTATTGAGATTCAATTTTAAATAGTGCAGCATACCGAATATCGTGTGTCAAGTTAGCTTTAAATCGATTTACACAAATCTGTCCCACTGTGCGCAAACGACTCTAAACTTGCCCAAATAAAACGAGATTCAGCATAGGTTCCAGAAAGACATAAAAATCACATATTTAAGTTCGTTCAATTTCATGTCCAAATTCCTTCAAAAAGGCGACGTCGTTTCGGATAAATATGTACCCAAAGTGGTGAAGGGTATCATATAGACGGCCCAGTCCGACTTTACTACTTTCCTTACTGGTTTTTCAATAAATTAGCGCATCTTTGTTCAAATTAGTTTATATACACCCATCACAGATGTGTCTTCTTTATTATTTTTATTTTTTTTATTATTATTTATTTTTTTAATTTTAGTTTTCCTTATTATGTTTATAAAATAGATATCGTTGTTTTCCTTAGTATTCTTATAAAATGGAATATTTGGCATTTTGTTGTTTTGTTTTTTTTTCTACTAATTTGTGACATACATTAAATAATATAATAACAATATTTTCACATAGATAAAATGTTAATTAGGCCTTAAAACTAAAATACTCAAAAAGCAAAATGAATATTAAAAAATATATATTGTATAACAAATAGTTACAAATACTTAACAAATAATAATGGCTATTATTTTAATTTTATAAAAAAACAAATGTCTTTATTTTATTGAGCGTTGTGGTTCACCAGGAATCACAATTGGTATTCTTGAAAACACCTACGTTGTTGCATACCATGTGGCACGACTTGAAGAACTTTCATCACTTTCCGGTTTTGGCAATATCCACATATTACCAATACCACTATCGGTGCTAAAACGATTCGAATCACGGAATAGTGACAAATTTGCCGGTTTCGGATGCATATGATCTTCACCATGATCCAAAGCACGCATTTCTTTAAATTTCTTACGCTCCTCCTCAGCATAGGAGCTAATCATTTCACGAATTAAATCTAACCATTGTTCGACGAGTGCAGCATCAGCTATAAAATCACATTCCTGCTTCTTACGATGTTCATAGTAGAGGGTAAATTGTTTAGTTTTCGCCGTAATACCAATATGTTCGCATGGATAGCGGCCATGGAATATCAACTGTTTACCCTTTATTTCCGTATAGATAATACATTTATCGAAAATGAACACTTTGCCACGATATGTCCGCTTCAATGTGTGATCGGCAATATTGAATTCGCTGACTTTGCGGAATTTACCCTGATAGAAGGTATTGAACTATAACGGGAAAAGGAAATGTATTAGAATTTTATTCGCGAATGATTAAAAATGGATTCTGTACTAACCTCATGTGTTTCACTCAAGCAGACAATATCATTTATGACCTCCGATTCATTTGTGGTCGTCAGCAGGGTTCTTAGTCGTTTCTCCAGACGGCAACAAGATTCAATAACTGGCTTCATAACATAATCACGATTTTTGAAGAGGGTCTGTAAAGAGACAAAGTATTAGAGTGGGTCAATTGTTAGTCCTTGTTGCTCAAACTTATTGAAAGCCGACGTTTATTAGTATAAACTTACCGTTATAAATTGTGTCAACAGTAGCGGATATCGGGCCATTCTTTGAATGGGTTGTACTAGAAAACTATTAATGCCCAATTTATCATCCAATTCGGTTTGGATAAGCTGTAAAAGTATGAAAAATAGATTTTTAGTTTCTGAAACTTGGAGGGGAAGTATCGGAATCACTTACCTTAAAATAATTTTTATAAGTATCACATAATTTCAAGGAACGTTGTTTGTTCATTGTATACAAGACATAACCATAAAAACAATGTTGCTGTAATATAAAATAGAGACAAATTATTAATATTTGTAAGGATCACAAAATGTAAAAAAATCTTAGTAGTCAGACGTAAATATATATGGGAACTATATCGAATTCTCAATCGATTTGGAACAATTCAACACGGGCTATGGCAATTTTTGTATCAATCTGACAGATGACCGAAAAAATTATTTGATCTTAATTTAAATCTGAACGGCTTCAAATAAAACTCAACATACGTAATTTTAGTCTCCAGTAGGAAGGTTGCCTAAAATTTCGTGCCGCTTAGACTAACGTAGTGCCTCTCCTGCGGTATTTCCATGACATCGGACTACATTCGATATAGAAGCTATATCTAAATCTGAACCCGAAAAATCACTTACCTCTATATAATGTTGAAATTCATCAAATAATCTCTTCAAATCGTGTTTATTACGATGTAACATTGGCAGGAATTCATCACGATGAAATTCGGCTAATTGTTCAACATTACCGAATAGAACATATTTTTTACCCCGCAAGCCCATTGGTAAATCTTTACGTTCAAACATATTGCCATAATTGCTGATGCCTGTCCAAAGATTTTCCACATAGGTTTCTTCGGTCTTTATCAGCTCATCGAGTATTGGTTGAATGCAACCGTAACCCTTATCGCGCATTTCAATTTGTTCCTCATCTTCGGGATCACTGCAAGAGGAGATAAGGAACGAATTTTTATTTATTCATGATTGTATACCAGATGAATTACTCACCATATAACCTGGCGCAATGAAGTATATTTCTCACCACGCAGACGAACCGTTTGTGAGCCACCAATTTCAGTTAAGGGTCGCGATCGATAGTTTCTGGAAAAAGGAAGGTGAAATTATGAAATTTGATTCGTATGACAGGGAAAGCCTAGAATTGATAAGTCCTGTTCATGAATCTGTTTGTCATTCATAAAAAGATCTAGATGAACGATTGAATCAAAGGAACTAGATGATCGAGAACAAACATTAAATACTATAACAAGGGAACAGAATAAACGATAGAACCGAGCCTATTGCCCTTTGGGGAATAATATCTTTGAAGTAGTTCATTCCGGAAAGATACAACTCTACCTTCACGTCCGAACCTCATTATAATGTAGATATTTTAACGGCTCTGATTGGCTTTAACATTGCGAGGTCCAGGCTTAGCTTGGTCCCTCTTTCATCTCAATTGTGGACACTGACCTCCCCTAATGTTGACGACCCCCGCAAACGTATAAGGACCACGATCTGCGAATCTGCATTTGGAATGTTCGCACCTTGTACAGAACAGGCGCAGTTTTCGCTTTGGCGGAAGTACTAAAGAAATACAAAACCGATATTATTGCCTTACAGGAAATAGGCATACGTAAATCAGACGATTACGCACTGCCATGAAAAGAAACATGAATTTGGCTGCGGATTTGTGGTTAACAGGTTCACTCCAGTAGATGAACGAATTGCTATAATTCGTATAAAAGCGAAGTTCTTCTACATCAGTCTCATTTGCGCCCATGCTCCGACCGAAGACAAAGATGACATATATTACGAGCGCCTAGAAACAGTATATGACCGCTGCCCTGGCCATGACATTAAAATTCTGCTAGGAGATTTTAATGCAAAAATCGGAAGGGAAATTATTTTTGGCCCCACCGTCGGAAAATTCAGCCTCCATGAAGAAACATCCGACAACGGCAAAAAACATGGTAAAAAAACATTAGCAGCGCCAGGTTCAAGCATCTCGATATACACAAGGTCACCTGGATTTCCCCTGATCAAACAACGAGAAATCAAATTGATCATGTTGTGATAGGCGGAAGGCATTCATCCCGTTCGATCGATCCGAGGAGGGATATCGAATCGGACCACCAAGGTTCGCACTCGTCTTAATGTAGCAGCAAAGGCGCGATCTAACCCAATACGGAAACTCGACGTCGAAAAACTGCAAACACAACAGATAGGTGAAGTATACTCCACTCAACTTACCCACCTGCTTGACGCAAGCACTTCTTGTATCCATAATAACAAAAGCAACACAAACTGCAGCAAAAGCAACACTTGGGTACCAAAAACCACCATCAAGAAACCCATGGTGCGATCAGGAGTGTCGTAATGCTACCGATGTGAAAAACGCAGCGTACAGGGCAACCCTGTAGACAGCAGCAACACGTAGTGCGATGGTGAATTATCGGGAGAAAAGGAGAGAGGAGAAACGTATTTTCAGAAAACGAATCAAGAACAAGAAAAACGTGAGCGTGAGCAAATCGAGATGTACAGGAGTCAGAATGAAGACCAGATATTTTACCAACGAATAAAACACCAACCGAAGGCTTTGGTACAGGTACATCTTCCTGTAGATATGAAGAATCTGGGATCTGAAAGGATCATTTTGAAAAGCTTCTGGTATCTAATAGTGACGGTGAAGAATATACTCCAGAACCAATAAGAGATGACTGTATAGAATGTGTACCACCTAGCCAAGATGAGGTTTACCAGCCGAACTATTCAAGACTGGTGGTCAGATGCTGGTCAGGAGCACCAGCTGATTAGTACAATTGGGCTAGGGGAATGCATGCCCAATGATTGGAACCTCAGCATCCTGTGTCCCGTGCACAAAAAAGGAGACAAAACGATATGTGCCAACTATAGAGGAATAAGTCTCATTCCCATCTCATATAAAGTGCTATCCAGTGTGCTGTATGAACGACTGAAGCCAATGACCAATGACACCATTGGACAAATACCAATGCGTCTTCAGACCTGGCAAATCCACCATTGACCAGATTTTCACTCTGCGCCAAATCCTGGAAAAGACCCACGAAAAACACATCGACACATACCACCTATTTGTCGACTAAGGCCGCATTTGACAGCCCTATCCGTTCAGAGGTGTTTAAAGCCATGTCTACGTTCGGCATTCCTGCAAAATTAATACGGCTATGCAGGATAACTTTAAGTGGCACAAGGTCAGCAGTTAAAAGAGGAAAGGATCTATCGGAGCCCTTCAATACCGAACGAGGATTCAGACAACGTGAATCGTGTGATCTTTTTAACATCCAGCTGGAAAAGGATATACGAGACGCAAAGGTGAACAGAAATGACACTCTGTACACCAAGCAACACATGTTACTCGCCTACACAGATGAAATAGATATAATGGGTCGAACATTGCGATCGGTAACAGCCACCTTTGAATAAATTGAAAATTAGTCTGCCAAAGTGGGTCTGGCAGTAAACGGCGAGAAGACCATGCTGATAGTATCAACGCGCAAGACGTTCATTAGACTCGTACCAACTGTGGAACTTGAGAACTACAGCTTCGAGGTATTTGGAGACTTTATATACCTTGGTACCGCCATAAATAAAACGAATACCATCAGTTTCGAAATTCGGAGAAGGATTGTGATGGCCAACAGATGCTACTATGGTCTAAGTAAGCAGTTTAGAAACAAAGCCACCTCCCGCCAGACCAAACTCACACTTTACACGACGCTGATACTACCCCCGCTATTATATGGATCTGAAGCATGGATACTTTCGCAAGCAGATGAGACAGCTCTTGGAATGTTTGAAAGAAAATTTCTCCGAAAGATCTACGGGTCGATCTGCGTCGACGGTGAATATCGGCGTCGAATGAACCATAAGCTTTACAATTTGTACGCGGACATCGACATAGTCAGTCGTATTGAGCTGCAGCGACTACGGTGGCTAGGCCATGTTGTGCGAATGAATGATAATGCCCCAACAAAAGGCATATAAAAGCGAAGGCCACGAATTAGATGGAAAGAAAACAACATTTTGGAACGTGGTCTTCCAAATTGGTGGATTTGTGCACAAGACCGACGCGCTTGGAAATATTTTCTAAGCTCGGCTTATGGAACAGCCGTGCTATAACAAATAAGTAAGTATCTGGAAAATTTTCGGTGTAAAAAGTAACTACCCGGTTATTAAATAGAAGAATGGTTCCCAAATATTATAATGGCTTCACTTTTGGACTTCAAAACTTTAATTAAAAATCTTCAAAGTTCATTCAATTGAAAGTACTCCCAAATTCGTAAGGACTATAAAATTTAGGAGCCAATATTTCAATTGTTTCCCATTGAATTTTTTTTTAACTTTGAAGATTTTTTTCTATTTACAAACCAATATTTCTATTCTTATCATATCTCTCTTACACCAAGATAGATAGGCATTGAAAGTCCTGATTCATAAAATTCAATAGCAAAAAAAAAATCGAAACGGGGAAGTATTTTTATATTTGCAAAAATACACTTGTGTTTGTGTATTTTACCATATGACAGTAAATACAAAACCCTTATCTAATATTTTTTTAGAATTTCCGAAATGGGGATTTACCAGCCATTATCTATGTTAACAACAAAATATTTAACGATCTATCAATAAAATCATAAACTAATCCCAACCTGTTAACGAATTGAATAAAATAGTAAAATAATTTATGGGTCTAGGGCACCAGAGTATTGAAACAAAATAGGGTTTGGAACCTCAAAAGCGATCTTTTCACAAACAAAAATTCAATCCTGATATGTGCCCACCCGGATTTAATGAAATTGTTTAAAGCTTACCTTGGAAAATCTTTGGATTTCGTTTTACCCAGGGCTTCCGCACTCTGATTTGAAGTATTCTCCTGTTTAGAACCTTCATCCTTCGCTGTGGGTTCATGACTTTTTGAATGTGTTAGCATTGGTGCTAATAACGTTGTATTTGTAGTCTCAACTACTGGTTCGACATTTTCTTCTGGAAGTGCCTTATGATTTTCTGTACATTCAACCTCAGCTACCTCATCTTCAATGGCATCAACTTCATCCTCCGTGTGTTCTTCATCGATAATCTGATGAAACGAAGAATGTCGATTGGCATTGTGTTTATTTGTGGCCTCCAAATTCATGACTAACACCCGTCCCGGTGGAGCCACGTAATATGATCCGGAATTCGATGAGATGGATGATGAAGTCAATGTGGGCGATGATACCTTATGCCATACCGGCTGTGATCGTTCACTTGAAAGCAGTGACTGTGTAGATTTCGATGTAAATTTTGATGTTTTCAAATTATCGCTGGCATGGAATTTTTCAAAAATAATACGTTTCTGTTGTACACCCAACCAGGCAGGATCTGGTGTAACGGGTGTATTGACGGCTGATGACTGATTTTCATCGTTGTTTTGTTCTTCTGTGGGGGTATTAACCGGTGGCGAGTTATTACTTATCAGTCCATCTTGACTTGTGCTAAATTCATATGAGCGTAACTTTCTTATTGGTTTTGTGGGTCGGTGGTTAATTGCACTCTCCGATGTATCTGAATTAACAGAATAAGCTATATTCATCGAAGAACTGGAACTTGTGGTTGTGCTGTTACTGGCAATTGAGGGGGTAGCAGGTTGTGAGATATTATTGGTTACACTATTATCATCTATATTGATTTCATGCAGCATTCGGGGTTCTATGGAAGAGTGACTTTCGGTGCTCTGGCGTCTGTGATTCGAACCGCGTTTATTAAAATTACGATTACTTAAATTTCGTTCACGACGAAACGGACGAGGACTATCGATATCAGACATGGTGTTAATTAGTATATCTATCAATGAGGGGGAGTCTTGAAATATGTGCTGGCCTTTGTTTGAGCTGTAAAGAGATTGGAAATAAAGAAAATTAGTTAAAATATTTATGCTATTAATAATCTGTGTTACAAAGTCCATTCCCCATAAGCTTCTATCATGTTCTGAGTAATGTTTGTATAACTAAAATTGTTGGCATATAAAATATTTTACAAAACAATGAAAGTATTTGTTTACATCTGTTTTAAGGTTAACTATTTCGAAAAACAAACATCTCCAGACAAAGACAATAGATTTTTGTTTTATTACATTCACTGACTAATTTCATACCGATGGAATCAGTCGCGATCACGTGATTCAGAAACGAAGTAGAGGAGAATTCAAACGGGGCTAAATAGAACAAAGCCGTATTTATCACAAGTTTAGTATATGTAAATAAAATATTGATGGCATGGGTTAGCCACATGCTAAGGAACAGATAGATAAGCTATAGTATATAGGGGAGACACTAACATTGTCAAGGTAGAACAGGGGATACCACAAGGAAGAATTTTATCACCACTACATCACAAAGATCACCTTCGGGATTTTAAACGAGAAGGAAGTTAAATAAGTCAGTTATGTAGATGATAGCATTGATCAATTGCTTTCCTAAAGCAGTTCGATCTTATTTGGTTCGAGGTAATTCATTTATTTAGTCCTTTCACTTCAATCGATCATTCATATTCGTCAGTTACTTCGGTCCATAAACGGAAATATCTAAATGAACGATTGTATCGAAATAAACTAGTTTAAAGAATTCACCGGACTTAGTACCCATCATTCCTTTTGTTGAAATTTTCCTTTAAACTAGTTCATTTCGGAACGATCCAACTGTAGTAGATGACGTTATAATACTACGCTAATCACCAAGTATAGATGAATAAGTCTCCTTCCCATCGCATATAACGACTGGTCAATGGTCAATGACATTTTAGGACCATATCAATGCGGCTTCAGGCCTGGCAAATCCTCCATTGACCAGATTTTCACTCTGCGCCAAATGCTGGAAAAGACCCACGAAAAACACATTGACACATTCAACCTATTCGCCGACTATAAAGCCGCATTCGACAGCCCTATTCGCTCTGAGGTCCATGTCCGGCATTCCTGCGGAATTAATACGGCTATGCAGAATAATATTAACTGGCACATAGTCAACAGTTAAAGTCGGAATGGACCTCTTGGAGCCTTTCAATAGTGAACGAAGTTACAGAAAAGAAGAGAGCCTCTCGTGTGACCTTTTTAAAATACATCTGGAAAAGGTCATACGAGATGAACAGAAATGACACTTTGTTCACCAAACAACACATGCTACTCGCCTACGCCGATGACATCGACATAATGGGTCGAATATAGTGAGCGGTAACGGCCACCTTTGAACAAATTGAGAAGGAGCCTACCAAAATTGGTCTGACAGTAAATTGCGAGAAGACCAAGCTGATGATATCAACTTGCTAGACGTCCAGTATTCTCGTATCAACTGTGGAACTTGAATATTACAGCTTCGAGGTAGTTAAAGATTAATGCCATCAGTTTTGAAATTCGGAGAAGGATATTGTTGGCCAACATATGCTAAACAGTTTAGAAACAAAACCACCTTCCGCCAGACCAAACTCACACTCTACAAGACGCTGATACTACCCGTTCTGGTGTGTGGAACTGAAGCATGGGTACTTGAGCAAGCAGATGAGGCAGCTCTTGAAGTCTGAGAGAAAAATTCTTCGAAAAATCTATAGGCCGATCTGCGTCGACGGTGAATGTCGGCGTCGAATGAACCACGAGCTTTATCATCTATACACGGACATCGACATAGTCAGTCGTATCGATCTACGAATGGATGATCGAGTGCGAATGGATGAGGATGCCCCACTTGAAAAAGCATATAAAAGTGAGCAAATTGATGGTTCACGCAGAAGGGGAAGGCCACGAATTCGATGAACAAATCAAGTGAAGGACGACATATCAAAGCCTAATCATTCAGATCGACGGGCCTGAAAATCTTTTTATTTTGACTTATGGAACAGATGTTCTGTCTCGATCCTGCTAAGTAAATAACTAAAGGTTCGTACCCCATGTTGAAATATTAAAATTTCAGTTTCAAATCTCCCAAAAAATGGTTCAAATTAATTTTTTGATACAGTTTTGACGAGTCAGTAAGATAAGCTTTACTTTTTACGTTTTTTGCCACCGAGATAGATGCAATTTGTAATTCCGGATGCTTGGAGGATGAATGAATGACAAAATTCTTCACCAAAAGTCCCGACCCATTTCCGATATTTTGAAGGTATTTTCCCACCGAAGTGGAGGAATTGAAGAATTTTTATGACATGTCTTGCCATTGTCCCCATATATATGGCACGCCTTATTGTTTGGTACTTTGAAGGATTTTGCCGCCGAAATATCTATTATTTATCATTTTGGCTTCATTTTTACACAATTTTCGATGAACACGTAGGTTTACATAGACCGCATAAATAATTTGTAATTTTGCATTCCGCATCTGAGTAGAAATTTTGTAATTTTTTGACATTAAACCATATAAAGGTCTCGACTTTGATAGTTATCGTTATTGATATTCTGGGTTCTTGGAGGATGACAAATATCGGAAGAGAACATGTTGATATATGTCCACATTTTAACGTAACACCATACAAAGGTTTCGCCTTATTTTCGGTATTGTGAATATATTAATTTGGGGAATAAGAAATCCTTTATTTTTGTATGAACTGTAGGACTTTATTTAACATGCTTCGGAATGTCCGATTTGGGCCAAATATGCACAGTTTTGTTGCATGATTTGTTGCCATTTTAAAGGTAACTTCACAATGCCTTTCTCATAGAAGTTCTGTTCTCTATTTGCAAAAAACTCTAGTAGTCGATTTTCCCAATCCTTCCTAGATACCAATTTGTTATCATTAAAGACATTTTGCAATGCACGAAAAAGATGATAATCGCTTGGTACCAAGTCCGGACTGTATAGCAGATGCATTGAAACTTCACAACCAAGCTCCCGAAGTTGCTGACAAGTCACTGTAGATGTTTTTGGCCTAGCGTTGTCTTGGTAGAACACGACACCTCTCCTGTTGGCCTATTCAATGGTTTAAAATTGTAAATGGTTTAAAAACAGTTTTATGGTCGATTTTTTAGCTCCTGGGCGATGTTACGACTGCTAACATGCCAGTCAACTTCGATCATTTCTCCGATTTAATCGACATTTTTTCCTTTTTTTCCTGCGAAATGTCACCCTTCCAACGAGCTATAATTTGAAATTGTTTGATCGACACTTTACGAGAAATCTATCGGTACAGCCATCTGCCGAAAAAATTATGGATTTCTTTTTTTCCTAACCTAATAGTTTACACATTTTATAACCGCGATCCTATTTAATAAACCAGTAAGGAAAGTAGTAAAGTCGGACGGGGCCGACTATATGATACCATTCACCACTATGGGTATATTAAACAGGACTATAACAAAAAATTGGATGAAAAAAAATGTGATATTTATCTAAATGTGAATCTACCTAGATCTATCCATAAAGTATGTCAATCGACTTCAAACAAATATAAATAGGTCATCCGTTGGGATATGTCTGCACTTCTAGAAAACGCAACTAGGTAATTCTATGCTCAATTTTGTAAGTTGTGCAAAATTTGATGTGAATCTGACTAACATGAGGAGTTTGATGCCCAATTTATTTGAAATCGGGCGAAAATATATATGGAAGCTCTATCCAAATATTGAGCGATGTCAAACAAACTTGTCACAGGTTAGGTTATACTAATTTCAGAACGTTTTGTTCCTATTGATTCCTTAGTACATCAATTACTTAAAATTAATCTATAATAAAAGGGAGCTATATCTAAATCTGGACCGATTTTCACGAAACTTGGCAGACATCATTCTAGGCTCAATTCGGTACGTTATGCCAAATTTCGTGCAAATCGAAGGATATATAGGGACTTTGGTGCACCATTTACATGAAATCGGACGAAACTATATATGGGAGCTATATCTAAATCTTGACCTATTTTCACGAAACTTGGCAGACATCATTCTAGACCTAAATGATTAGGCTGTACCAAATTTCGTGCAAATCGAAAGATATATAGGGACTTTGGGGCACCATTTACATGAAATCGGACGAAACTATATATGGGATATATATCTAAATCTGGACCGATTTTCACGAAACTTGGCAGACATCATTCTAGACCTAAATGATTAGGCTGTACCAAATTTCGTGCAAATCGAAAGATATATAGGGACCGTTTACACTAAATCGGTTAAATATATATATGGGAGCTATATCTAAATCTGAACCGATTTTTCCCAATTTCAATAGGGTTCGTCCTTGGGCCGAATAAGTCCCCTATGCCAAATTTCATCCAATTCGGATCATAAATGCGACCTGTACTTTGTTTACAATTTTACATGGACAGACAGACGGACGGACGGACATGCATAAATCGACTTAGAAAGTTATTCTATGCATATTCTCAAAAGGAACCATGTGTCTATCTCGTTTCCTTTTGTCTGTTACAAACATATGCACAAAGACATAATACCCTGTACCAAGGGTACACTTCTTCTCTAATATTTTTTTTATTTATACCCTACACAACTATGTTGTCAGGGTATTATAGCTTTGTGCAGCCCCAAATGTTTGTAACGCCGCGAAATATTGGTCCTAGACCCACCTTTAAGTATACCGATCGTCATATCTCGACTAGCTGAGTCGATCTAGACATGTGTGTCCGTCCGTCCGTCCGTCCGTCCGTCTGTCCATTATATTTTGTAAACACGATACAGGCCACAGTTATGGACCAATCTTCATGAAATTTTGCATGTAGGATGGGTCCTGGCCAATGAAGACCCCTATTGTTTTTGGAAAAGATCAGTTAATATTTAGGGGATGAAATGGACCAAATACTAAATTTTTGTCGGTTTTTCTGGTCGCT